CTATCTCTCTCTCTCTGTCAAATAAATAAATAAAATCTTAAAAAAAATACATAAAATTATTTCCTATACCACTACTGTTTGCCTCCCACTTTGGGAAATACTCATCTAGAATATAACAGTTTTTGGAAGAGATTTGCATGAAGAACTTTACAGCAACAAATCTACTACAATTTCAACTTAGCCAAAGATGAAGCATTTCTATGGTCTGTTTACAGTAACTTTAGAGATGAATGAAGTTTAACATATTCTAGAACAATGGAAAATATCTCACTGCCTACAGATCAAAACTTGTATGAAATAGGAGATTTATAAGCATTATTAGATCCTAACTTAAAAAAAAAAAAAAGCCACCTGAATTCTATCTTTAAAAGCTGCTCAGTTATCCTTTCAGTCTTAAATGATCACATCTGAGCATGCCAGTCTTGGGAGAACCAGAAGACATTGCTGTCCAGTTGGTCCCATCAAAGAGGCTGAGCTGGACAACATAACAAACACTATCCATCTTTCCAGCCCCCACCCCCAGTCCTCCACCTCCAAAAGCAGGAACAAGCTCAGCTGTGATCTATAATAATTCCATTAACCCTGCAATGAAGCATTAAATTAAACTGCCTAGCACAGATTCTTCTTTTGCTACAAGGGAAAATGTACCTTGTAAAGCCTGAATTTCATGCTAATAGATTAACTAACCAGCTACATGTTTACAGGAGAATACAAATAAGCAAAATAACTAGGCAAATTGTGAAATCTCCAGTGGGGTGTTACAACAACGGACTTTCTCCCTGATAATATTTCCTCTGAAGAGTTTAGTTATAGAGCGTTCCAGCCTTAGAAAGAGCAGTTCTCCGGGGCGCCTGGGTGTCTCAGGGCTTAAGTGTCTTTCTCTCAGGTCATGATCTCAGGGTTGTGAGATCGAGCCCCATGTTGGGCTCCACCCTGGGCGTGCAGCCTGCTTGAGATTCTCCCTCTCCCTCTGCCCCTCCCCACCCGCCCTCGATTGCTGTCTCTGTCAAATAAAACAATAAAATCTTAAAAAAAAAAAAAAAAGAGTCAGACGCTCAATCCACTGAGCCATCCGGGTGCCCCGTGTGCTTGCATTTTTAGTGACTAGGGGCTCATTTAAAGAGAGGACACCAGGATTAGGGCCCGGAGCCAGGGAATGGAAGAATCTCTGCACTGAGGGTTCCCTAAAGAGGCAGTTACATGAGGTGGTTAGAGCATCAGGAGGGTCTGGCAGGCCTGGGTTTCGATTCCAGTTTGGACACCTGCCAGGTGTGTATGTAACCTGCTGCATATTTACTGACCTGACCCTCTCAGGACACCACTGCTATGTCTATGAAACCAGGATGATACCTCCTCTCAAAGGCTCAGGGTTAGGAGGAAACAACATCATATCTGTAAGGTGTTTGGCACAGTTCCTGGCATATAGCAATCCGTTGGGAAATGGTGACTATTACTGTTTTTATTTTCTGGTCTGTATTAGTTGTCTGTCGCTGCTGTAACAAATTATTATAAACACGGTAGCAAAAAACAACACAAATGCACTATCAGATCTGTGAGGCAGAAATCCAAACTGAGGGG